GCTTGTAACTACAAATGCCGCAGAATCTCCTTGCTACCCGTTGATCTTCATCTATCGTAATCCAGATGTCACCTTCTCAACCCTCTTGAACGATGTGGAATCGCGAGGGAAGTACGGGCACTGCTGAATTGTGAGGAAACTATGAATGCGGCAGAATCTCCTTGTTGTTTCTCAATACAGAACCCTCTCGGACGTTGCAGAATCGCAAGGGAAAACAAACAGGGGTTTGTCGATCTTTGTCTGCAGCAATCCCAATGTCGCCTTCCTAAACGTTAATGTCATAACACGAAGGAGTCATCTCACGTCACCCCGGAGTGGGGTTAGGGTTAACCGGTTAGGTTGCCGACTCCGATACCATGTATAGTTTTGAGAAGAAAAAATAATTGTTCTTCTTCAATTTCATTTGAAATATTTACAAATTAAGTAGATAAGGATGACTCTCATATTAAGAATATAATAAATCATTCATAACTCCCCATGATTAAAAAAATAATAATAATAATTAAAACATATCAATAATACAAAACACTAACAGACGAAAAATAATAAAAGATACTAACAAAAAAACTTTTTGTATAATTTCAATAATATGCTTCAGGTGCTGATATTTATAAGCATATAATCTCCCGTCAGTTGTCTCTCATTTGTTTAATTCAAATTTTAAAAAATGATTTTGGTACAGTAAAATAAAAATAAGTTCAATAATAACAAGATTTAAACACACAATGGAAGACCTGCAATAGGATAGCTAGATAAAAAAATAGACCAAATATAACAACAACAAAAAATCAAAAATAGCACTATGTATACGACCCCTATAGTTCACAAACATGATCAATTGTAGTGCCAAATCAAATTCAACAAAATTAGATATGAATTTGAATTGTAACTACAAACAGTATTCTTTATCTAATATATCATCAAATAAATATATATAATCTACAACCCAATCAAAAAAATCAAGATTGAATTATACATAAGTTTAGTGTTGGTGGGCAAAGGAGATTGCAGTGCACTACTCGTTAGGAAGATTAATCATAGGAACGATAGTCCTAGTAGAATGATCATAATATGCCTCAATGTTTAAATATCAACCTAAAACCTCAAATAGTGTTTTGGGGAAGGGCCAAATCCTAAAATAGTCCCCAACTATTCGCATAGCCAATTTAGTTTCATATTATCACATATTTAAATTAGTTCCTCAACCATACAAAAGTGATCCAAAATGGTCCCTCAACAACTAAATTAAAATCAATTTTGTATAGTCTTGAAGCTAAATTAAGATAATTTTGTATCACAATTTCTACAAAAGAGACCATTTTGAATCAATATTGTATAATCAATGGAATAAATAGAAGAAATGCAATAATCTGTGACAAAATTAGCTACATATAAATAATCAAGCGCTATTTCAAAATTTATTCATTACGGTGATGTATAGTTTAGTTAATTCCTAGGTTGTTTAAAGAAACAAGAAGTGGTAACAAAATAATTTAGTGACATCCCATGTGTGGTTATAAGACATGTAAAACATGATATTATTAAAAAATGATATACTTGTTTTAATGACAACCCTAAATTGTTTATGCAATTGGTCGCCATACCCATTGAAGGACAAATATATCTTTTTAAGGTTGTTTCATATCTCTGACTATATTGATTTTGTTTCATTTGCAATACTTAGATTAAATAATTAAGCATGTCCTACAAATGCTGTTTCAACAACTTTAAATATTTTTGGAATTAGTTGTGGTAATAATCAAAGAAGTCTTCCAAATTACCAATCCATTCTAAGAAATTTTCAAGGTTAAACTATTGATTAAAAGCGTGCACAGAAAGGCCTCAAATTTATGGCCTTTCTTGCTGAGGCAGCTACCTCAAATTAATGAGTATATGAAAAAAACTGATATATTAAATTATAATATAATTATAACATACTTAATAATCAATATTGCATACATTTCATTTTTTTTAGTTAAATTATAATGAATCACTTAGTTATGGAAGAAATTTATTATTTTATTCTAAATTATATATATATATATATATATATATATAAATGGACCGCAAAGTGCATTTATGATCCACTCGTGTGATGTCCAAGGAAAGCCTCGAACTCGGGACCCCAAGGGTCTTTACACATTCTGTTTACCAAACAGTTAAAATGTTCGCACAAAGTAGTGTGTGTGTGTGTGTGTGTGTGTGTGTGTGTATACACGAATTTGTGCAAGATGGCGAATTTCGTCGTCTCTGCTAGGGTTTCGCATGGCGATTTCAGTCGTCTTTGATTCAGCCGCGCTCGAAGGAAGAGAGCTTGCACCTCATCGCCTTTGTTTCGCCTATTGTGTTTCTTTGTCTCTCCATCTCGCGTCTTCAGCTTCGTCGGCTTGCGTCTTCGCGTCTCCCTGCTTGTTGCGTTTTCGTCGTTTCTCCATTTCAGCTTCGCGTCTCCCTGCTTACTGCGTTTTCGTCTGTTTCGACGCCGAGATCTTCGCGTCTTCCATTTTCATAGCACCGTCTATTTTGACACTGCGTTTCACCTACTGCGCTTATATCGGAGCATCATAGCAGGTGAAACATCTCCCTGCTTTGATGGCGCTCCCTCCCTCGGTTGAACCTGGCAAAGCCTCCTTCGCCCACGTGATGGGATCCTCAGGTGGAAATGACGATTGTCTTCCCATTAAGCTATAAGGAATGTCGTGATGGTACATGTGACTGCTCCTTTTTTAAGAAGGCAAGTAGGAACTGTTGGAAAGCAACACTCTTTTTTTTTATTTAGAAATTTCAACTTTAACTGAGAAATGCGAGTTCGCTCTTAATGAAAAATTTCAATGGAGGCACCCACCTATGGAAGTTATCAGAAAGAGTTTTGATGATCTCAAACTAGAAGACAAGTGGAAAATGAGACTCTTTAATGGGAGGTATGTGTTGATTCAGTTAACTGCAGCTGAAGACTACACTCGGATTTTCTCTAAAAAATATTTTAACAATGCAGGAAAGTCAATGAAGTTACTCAAGTGATTCTCTCCTTTTGACCCAAACCATGAATCTCCCACTGTATCAGTATGGTTTAGTTTACCTGGTCTCCAGCTGCATTTTTTTAATCATCAGATTCTCTATTTTATTAGGGTCATACTTAGGGATCCTATGAAACTAGATTTACCCACCTTCAATCTAACCAGACCTTCTGTGACCATAATAATTATGAAAAGTGATATTACTTTACCTGATATTACTGAAGTCTGGCTAGACACAACTCATAATGGATATTGACAACAAGTTGTCATGGAACGGACATTTTTATTGTACTCATTGCAAGATGTTTGAGTATACGCTTGATAAATATCACAGGCTCCATCCTAATTTAAAATCTAAAGCTCAAGTGAATAAGGATGGGTCTAACCCCACTGCTCTGGACAGATCTGCTCCACCTGTGGAAGAAATTATCACAAGATAGGAACTGGTATCTAATTTAATTGCCACTGTGGACACCCCTGACAATATTGTTTTTGTTTCTGTGATTGATGTGATGTCGGATGGCTCTACTAATTTGTATGGACAGGTTGACTCTTTGGTAGAGAGAGAGTGAGAGAGAGAGAGTGAGAGAGAAGATTATAAAGATAAAAGAAAGATTGAATCGGATCATAAAATTAATATATATGACTCTTCTAAAAATGTTGAAATTAAAAAAAATTATGATGGTTCTTGATCCTCATGACATATTTTAATTTTAAATTGAGTGCTTACCTTAATTCTTGTTTCACGCTATCACTTAAAATGACATTTAAAATTAAGATCTGTTTTTTTTTTCTCATTGTGTGTTTAATAACAAAATAAATATAATGACGGTTTATGACATATTTATAAATTGCGTTTAACTTTAAGACTTTTTTTGGGCTTACGTATCAATTCACCTCGACACTTAAGACTCATCTTATTAAGGTAAAATGCCTAAGTTCCCAACTTGCCTTTTTAAATTTTGGTTAAACCTCTCAATAAATGTAGAAATGTAATTTTAAACCTTAAGATAATTATGTTGTATCTGTTTAAAACTATAATTTACTAGATTTCCTATGAACTACATTTATTAACTCTATTATTGAGCCAATTAATGTTTTAATTATAGTCGACATGATGATGCAACCATAAGTCTCATACTATTTTAATAGAAGACATTCTAAAGTCTAGATTCCTAATACAGCTAAATGATGCAATGGAATTAGATAATAAAAATAAATTATAATTCATAGAACAAAAACCACCAATATAACAAAAACTCGCTTAATTTAGATGGAGTCTTGAAAATATAAAAAGTCCAAACCACATGATAATGCAAAAATAAAATAAATTACAGAACTCAACAAGAAACTGAAGTACTAATATTTAGATAGATAATCAAAATTTTGTAGTGAAATTGAAGCAGCTAAGTGAAAGGAATTTAGGACTAATTCCCTGTGTACAAAGCTCAAAACATATCAGAGAAGCTTCCTGTGTCCAACAGGAGGCATGAAGAAATTCTGTAAAAGTTCATTTTCAAATGTCAACCATCTGATGATCTGGTTAGGAGAGTAGATCAGGCTGCGACCTCACAGGGACTTTGACCATGGAAATGAGCCTGCTAGTTTTAGATTCGACTTATATTTAGAAAGGAAAAGGTAGACCTAGAAAGGCTTGGGCATATTGTATTAAAAAATGATCTTAATTTATTAGAATTAAATGAAAATATGACAATCAATAGGACGCAATGGAGAATGGAGGATTCATATAGCTGACCCCACTTAGTGGGATAAAGGCTTGTTGTTGTTATTGTATAAGCGATGAGCTAATAAAGGTAAATAAGATAGAATATAACTAGACCAATAGCGAGTACTGATCATGTAATGAATAAGACAAAAAAAAACTATCTCAAACTAGGTTTTGATTGCAAAAGTTGGAATCTAAAAAAATCAGATGTATATAGAATAATCATATATAACATTACAACGTAAATAGGAGCCAACCTGAAGCTTTTCAAGTGTTTTGGATAGGGATGAAAATATCCATATAATGAAGCAAGAATCCAAGAGAGCAACAGGAAGAACCAGGAATAGCCTTCCTTTTCCAGAGAAGTCGTTGATGTTACCCAAGTGTTCCACAAGCTCAAGGGCTTCCGACGTTATGAAATACACCACACCAAGAAGGATAACTTTAGAAGTAATGCCACCTAAAGTTGGTCTTACAACACCATAACCCATCGAAACCACCAAAAGAAGCATCCTTGAAACAGTCTTTTTGACAGCAGTGAAAGTCACAGCCCAAATGGTAATGCCCATTGGCCGGCTCCCAGAGTCATTAAAATTTGCATACTCAAAGTACCAAAAAGCCATTTCACACATGCCTAGTGCAATTACAGCTGTAATCAAGTAGTGAAGCTGCAATGTATCTTTCCAGAACCGCACAAATTGAAGAAACCAAACAAGGCCAAGTGCAAGATATGCCAAAGACATTAAACCATGAAATGTCATCAATGGTGCCATTTTACCAGGCAGATAACCTCCTGGATTTCTCCAAACGGTTCTTCCACTGATCGTCAAACCTTGTAGTTGCGGGTCACAGAACATAAAATAGAGATAGTACATTCCAGTTTTTTCTATGGGAATATTTTGAGTAATCATAGTTGCTTCCTCATTTGTCCCATCAAAAAAAGTCTGTATGCGCTTTGGCCATTGGGAGTTATCAGGATTTGGATGAATGATTACCTCTGCTAACTTGCAAGATTTCTCTTGGTGAAGTTGTGGAGTGCAGCATATGTCTTCAGAATTTAAAAATGCACCACCAATTCGGTCTCTGTCCTGAATTTCAAGTATTATGGCTTCCACCAGGCCGGTGCTTGATTGCATAGCATGATGCATTGATGCTGACTCTTTCGTTCGGCGAAAGATAACAGAGTCAAATCTGAAAATGCGAACAGAAATATGTTTTCATACGTGATACAAACAGAAATATGTTTTCATACATGCAGTAATAAAGAAGTAAAAGTCTTGATGCAAATAACAACCGGCAATGAGGCATGGGAAAAGAAAAGAAAGAAGCAAATGTATTTTCAATTCCAAATTCATACGAGCACGTTCAAATATCAACACCACCATGTTGACCTCATTTTTGTGAGGTCTTGTCTTCTCCTCCTTAGAGCCTAGATTCTAGCTCTAGAAATTCCTATGGACCATTTTAGAAAACTAGAATTGAGACTCACCT